CAGTGCCCGGGGGAAAAAAAAAACAAAAAACTTGAAAAAAGTTCAAAAAAAAAACAGTCGGAATATGACTTCAAAAGCTGAGGACCGAGACAGGTAGGAAATCTTGGGCAGGAAACTACAATGGGATAGTTCAGAGGGAAGTAGCGGCAATACCAGTCTGCCGAGAGAAAAGAAAGATACATAGCTTAAAACAGGGAGAGGAGGTTTAGGGCTTAAGTCCAACACAGGACAAGATACATTGTTTAGGTAAGGATAAACTAGAACCGATAGGGGTTAATGATTAACAAACTGTCTGTTATTAATACACAGGCCAGAATAGAGAGGGAGGGGTGGTCTCGGGTTTAGGGTGTAGCACTTTAGATTCCACAGCCAGTACTGGACAAAAACGACTGTCCTCAAAACAGAAAGTACTGGGTAACAAACCAGAAACATACAAACAGATCAGTTTCGGGTAGAGGTTTCCCATGAGTGACACAAAGGGATAGATCAGGTTTTGTCTACTCTATAGAGACAGGGCACTTTAGGCACAACAAGCTACTGCAAACTCTTAATCACCAACCTCCCCCCTCACTAGCTCTAGCTTTCATGAGAATCTGACAGCACTCAACTGAGCGGAGCTAGGAGCGAGGGCACCCAGAGGATCAAGTAGTAGTGAAAATAAGCTAACACAGGCAGGAGTGAGGGGTGGTACATCCTTCCTAAGGGAAGTAATCAATGCCGTCCACTCGGGTCTCTCAGCCATAATGGGGAGGAGCGTCGTGTGTGTCATTATTGTATTCACCTTTGACTTGCAGGGGGAATAGGAACCGGACTGTTGCTCCCCAGAATGGAMATGGAGCCAGAACCGAGAGGTTCTGTTTTTTTTTTTTTTTTAAAGTTAAAACTAAAAATGATAAAATCAAGAGTAGGAGCATAGGTTGGAGTTATTGTGCTAAGTCACCTAAGTGTCTACCTTTCTAACGAATGTGAGGTCTCTCTTCAGTTCCTTATAATCTCTTTATCTCTTGACTTTTTGCTTTCTTTATCTGCGCAAAACGGGATGATCTTTGCACTTTAGGAAGGTCCCTGGTTACGAGAAAAACTGCGAAACGTCTGGAATCGGTTCATGGAAACGAAGCAGTCTAGTTGTGAGTAATGTTAACCCCGCGTTTGCCGACACATCCAGCGGAGCCCACATAGTAGGGGTTTCCGTACTATCAAGTGTTTTGACACACACTACAAAAACACACACAAACTGGCGGCTAGTGCAAAATGCGTTACCGCAGAGAGGTGCATGTTCCTCCCCTCTTCCTCCACGTGTCAACGTCTTGTGTTGCTTTTCAAAAGCCAAAACGTGAGAACTCAACACCCTTATGTCTGCTGGAAGAAAACAAATACTTCTTTTTTAAGGAAAGATTGTGACGGGTGCCGGGGACAGTGCAGGGCGCGGATGTCCAGCTAAGGGCTGGACGCACCGCATGCAGCCCTCCATGTCAGCACAGTGGACCCACCCACATACAGGGGACACTCAAAGATGGAACGCTCAACCTCGACCACGCACACACACCCGGGCAGGTATCGAGCGAGAGCGGGTGCTTCTTGATCACTGGCAACTGGGTGCGCTATACCCCGATTCAGGTTCCGGGGGCCCCCAAGGTGACCTGCTGGCAGGCGATCAAGCACCCTGTCGCCTGCCACTGGGGGGGGGTGTCGTTGGCCTGCTAGGGAATAGCGAACCCTGGCCTCCCTGCCCTGCTCTTTCCAACTGAGTCCAACCCCCCACCCACCACAAATATGCCCAACATGGATGGGATGTGGTGCAACGAAGAGATTGTTCCTTCCTTCCCCTGCCTCAATCCGTCAAAATTCCAAGTTCGTTCTGAAACGGTTTTCACCTTTTGCAGTCACAGATGCGGATCCCAGGGCTCGATCCCCAGATCTTACCTTACTTTACCTTCTGAAACGGTATTCACCAGTTCGCAGTAGCGAATGCAGATCCCAGGGCTCGATCCCTAGTTCCCCATCTTACCTGTGTACAGTATTGATGACAACCCGTAGATTTGAACTTGCGACCTGTGGAAACACCAGTGGTAGATAGATTGTCGTAGGTCACAGCTTAGAAGGGAATCGAACTGTGGACTCGTAGGGTAGGAGTCTAGACAGTTCCGAAGTCGTAGTTGTAGGATGCCTGAAAAGTCAAGGTCGTAGCTACTGCTTACCTGAAGGGGCAAAGTCGTAGCTGCTACAGCACCGAAAGGCCAAGTCAGAGGTTTCTAGAAGTGGCCTTTCGGAGTGGGCCTACATTGAACAGAGGCAAGTGGTCAAGTGGCCTACACTAAACAGAGGCAAGTGGTTAAGTGGCGGTAGGCCACCCTGCTCAGTCAACAGTCCCAGTTAGTCAGTCCGGTCCTGTCCAGCAAGTACCATCTGGGACTGTGTGCACATCGTGGGCCGAGGGATACAGGGCAGACCAACGCAGCGCAGAGGTATAAATCAAGAGGCTGCGTCCAGCCATTCATTCATTCCTGCGGATGCCATGCGGAAGCGCTGCCTCAGCAGCTTGTGCGAGGAGGTCTGCAGTGCGCCCGAAGACGAAGTGGGCAGAGAAGCGTAGTGTAGCGGTAGGGTAGTGGCAGCCATAGCTGCCATAGCTATAGTAGCGTAGGTGTGTGTGTTGTGTGTATGTCCAGAGTGTGGCGTGTGGGACATCCAGGGTGAYCCAGAGTGCGAACAGTGAGTTGTGTGGGCGCTCAGTCGCCATAGCCAGTTTGAAGAGAACTCTTACCTGGTTACGACATCTTTGAGTACTGTGTGGGCGCATGTCGCCAGTTTGCTGTTTCGCTGTTTGCATGCATGACAAGTGTGAAGAAGTCGAGTTTGATTGCACTTCGCTGTGTACAGTATCAAGTCGACCCTGTGTGTCTTGAACCCGTGACCTGTGTGTTAGTAGTTGAAAGTTGTTTGTCGTCGGTCTGAGTAGTTGACGGGTCTTGAACCTTAGACCTGTCGAAGTAGGGGTCATACCTGCATAGGGGTCATAGTTGTTGTAGTTCTGAAGGGTCAAGGTCGTAGCTGCTACAGTCCTGAAAGGTCAAGGTCGTAGCTGCTACAGTCCTGAAAGGCCAAGTCCGCAAACTTCTGGAAGGTCCGGAAGTGGCCTTTCAAATTTCTTCTCACGTTATACACAGCAGACCAGAGGCAAGTGGGCAAGTGGTGAGTCCAACTTCACTTAGTCAGCGGTACCCAGTCCCAGTCTCACTTTGTAAGTCAGCAAGTACCATGAGGGACTGTGTGCACCATGGGCCCAGTGGAAAAGGGCAGACAAACGACTTACAGAAGTATAAATCAAGGGGCAGCGTCCAGCCATTCATAATTTCCTGCGTGATCCATGTGGAAGCGCTGCCCGAGCGTCTTGTGCGAGGTGGTCTGCAGTTGCCCGAAGTCGAAGTGGGCTGAGAGGGAGATAGCGCAGCCATAGCTGCTTGAAGTTAGGGATAGCCGGCGGCCATAGCTGCCATAGCTAGTGTTAGGAAGTAGTGAGGGTGTGTGTCTGATACAGAGTATGTGTGTGCATTCAGGGTGATCCAAAGTTGAGTGTATGCGAACAGTGGTGGTGGACACAGTGTCGGCAGTGAAATGATTTGGCGATCAGGCACCATAGCCTGTTTGAACCGAGTTGTATCTCAACTGTGTTCTCGGTCTCCATATCTTTGAGCTTCGTGTGGGCACCTGGCGCCAGTTTGGTTTGCCATCTGTCTGCATGTATGCAAGTTGAAGAAGAAAGCGAGTCTGAATGCAGTTCTGAAAAATACGACACCTAACTCCTCAATTACAATAACTCCTGTGTGCCATTATCCACAGTAGATCTCGTTTGCAAAGCACAACTGTCCCTGGAAACTTGGCTGCTGCCAATCATGAGGTATATCCCACGAGCTTAATTGCCAAAACGCTTGGAAACAGTAATTGATTTCCGAAGGAAGCGAACATGGTACTGTCCCACCAACCAAGGATCTATGCCTGGCAGGAAGAGTCGTGTAGTTGCTGTAGACCACTCGACAGCAACTACACGACTCTCTTCTTCTGGGTCCTTTGCTGTTTTTCTGAAAATGTAACGACGGAACTGTCTGCCGCATTATGAGCCGCCTCCTAACATGGACGGAACACTGGCAGTGAGTCAGCTAGAGAAATGCACATCTGCCCCATGTCTGCAGATCTGTGGAACCAATGTCAATATGCTTGCAAGTTGCAAACCAATAGCTGCTTGCTCAAAAAGCTCCACACTGAGTTACCGATCTACTCTTGCTTACACACCACAAATCCAAGATCAACTCACTAGGAATCGAACCTGTGACCTGCCACCTGCCACCAAAGACGTGGATCACTTGACCACTAGGTAAACTGAGCTAGGGCGAAAGTTAAGACCGTTGTGAAACTGTTGCTCAATGACAAACACACTGCACATAAATAAATTGCAAGTTTAAGTTGGGGATTACAGAGTGTATTTGGTGTGTGTTCACTCCCGAACAGAAACGCATTATGGAGGATCATTGCACTAGCTGCAGATACCTGACGACATCTGTCCAAAATATGAAAAGCAATCGGAGGAGGCCCTCTTGGACACGAAGCTCAGTATTGGGGCTAATTCAGGCTGGAAGCAAAGCCTCTTTCTTTCAGAGTTTCCTGTTGCTCATGCTGTTCTTTCCGACAGTCTTGTCCATAAGAAACAGACTCTCCGGTGGTCAATCCTCAGGGATCCTTTGTATTGTATTCTGACTTGCCAGTGGAATAGGAACTGGACTGGTGCTCTCTCCCCATAATGGATATGACCTCATCTGTGGACCCAGGCCCCTAATGTCCTGTTCAGAAGAAAACGACTTTAACGAAGGAAGAAGAAAAAGAAAAACATTGTATGCTTGACAAATACATGCAAATCTGCATGAATTGCAAAGTGCTTATATAGATATTAAATTTATAAATAGTAAATACACGTAAAGAAAGTAAAACGAGGAAAAAAGGCTTACCAGGAGGGAATCAATAAGGCTGCGAGCAGCGGGATCGAGGTGATCTGGCATTGCAAAATCCCGCGACATAACCTTCTGGAAGCAGAGGTACTCACTCCCGGCATGGAAAGGAGTCACTCCGTCCAAAAGCTGATATAAAACGCAACCCAAAGCCCACAGATCTGCGCTGCTTTGACATCAGCCACAAAGAAACGGCGCATCGAAGACATGCAAGTGTGAGCAGAATGGGCGATGTACTGCAGTCACGTGCAGTGCAAAAATAACATAAGAAGGAAAACAGAGTAAAGAAGTCACAAACAGGACAGAGGCACATGCGGATGCATAACCACCTACACACACAGAGTAACAGGCATTCACACATCCATACACAGCAGGCACGCGCACTCAGCCCATAGCTGTGTCCCTGTAGATATACCACCAGACTTGCTGTCTCACCGCAGACTTTGATTTGCAGCAAGCACGGGCTGAATTTGTTCCCCCCCCTGACTCCGTCCCAGTTTCTACCTCCGTGATTTAATTCCATAGGGATCGTCACCCCTCTCATGCTCCACACTCAAATTGTCATTTGGTGCCAGCTCCTGTGTGACTGGAACAATGATTTGCAGCGCAGTCCTCTCTTCCCAGGCATGAAACAGTCACCTTGCTGCTTGGTTGTCTACGGTCCCGACGGAGATTGCAGTGCTGAGTCTAGCTTTGATGCACACCTTCAGCCAGTCTTCGATATGTTTCGAAGTTGGAGCCCCTGTTAGTGGAGCCCCAACCGGCTAGTGAGCCTAGGTGGGAGAGCGCTCAATGCTGCTCATAAGCGCAAATGTGAGGAGCTCTTCCCCAAGGTCAAGCCCTGGTACCTGGAATCTTTACAATTCTTGGACCAGATCATTTACAGTGCCTCTATATGTCTGACTATTGACGCCTCATTTCCCCATGTTACAGTGATATAACCTCCTTCAATTTCTCAGTGGTGCAGACCATCCTGTCATCCTTGCACGCAAATCGCACCATTGCTTGCCCGTTGCAGCACTTCCGATTCCATCTAGTCATTCCCTACATCCATGAGATAAGAGAAGACAGCCTGTCCTTCTCCACGCTACAATAATTTATGTGGCCCATGATTTCTCGTAGCCACCAGTCAACGTACTCATCCCTCTCTCACCTTTAGAACATGGTGGCTGATCAAGTTATAGCTTGGAGGCTGCCTTGCTCTCTGCCGCATTAGACGCTCTGGATCACTTGTACCAACTGGCCAGTTGTTGGGAGCCAGCCTGAGCAGACACAGAGGTTTGACACCACATCTACCATGCTCATCACCTGGTCGACTCCCTGGGAGACAGTACTCTTAAGCGCATTTATATCATCCTGGTGTGACGATTGCACAGCGGTCACTGCCTCCAGTTTATCTTCTTGCATTGTAAGCAGACAGAGAGCTTGACACGGCATCTACCATGCTCATCACCTGGTCAACTCCCTGGGAGCCAGTACTCTTAAGTGCATTCATATCATCATGATGCGAAGATTGCAGCGCAGTCACTGTCTCCAGTTTATCTTCTTGCATTGTATTTGGTCCTTCCAAAGCCTTCTTAGACGTTAACGTTTCTTGTTTATTCTTCTCTGCCTCCTCCATCTACCTCGTCCGTTTCTCCATCTCCTTTGTCTGTTTCAGTATTTCTCCATCGATGTCTTCGCTTCCTGTTCCCATTGTTCCCTTACTGCCTTCTGTGCACAGGTTCCACTATAATAAGAGTTATAAATGACTCATAAGCTATTAGTGGCCTCTCACTGCTGAACTACCTTGTCACTTCCTCGTTGTGTCACACACATCTCTCCCATCTAAGCATCTCAATTCTTTCCTAGCCACAGCATGTTCCCTTACTGCCTTCTGTTCATGGGTTTCACTTATAAGAGTCAAAAGGCATTTATAGCTTCTTGCTGCTTAACTACCTTGTCACTTGCACTTCGTGTCACACACACCTTTCCCATCTACAGATTCTAAACAACTCACTTCTTTCCGAGCCACAGCATAACGACCAGGATAAGCCTTGAAAAAGGGTGCCCAACTCCAGGTAAGGTAACTGATGTGGTGCTGACATGGCACCGATATGCTGCTGACATCCCACTGGTGTGTCAATGATGAGGCATTGGCACATGGCCGACGCGGTGCATTGTCATGTGGATGATGTGGCCGCATGTTGTCCACGACACCAGCTCTGACACCAATGTAAGGGTCAGAGAGGATTCAATCACAATTCCCGCTCCACACTCTTGCTGACTAGTTCATAAACTTGATCGGAACCCGAGTAGACTCGATTGGAAATCAACAATTGCTTCTGCACAGCAGAAAAACACATTAGTGAAGCTTCCCAAAACTCACCCACAACCTTCCCGATCACCGTCCAAGAAACTGTTCATACCAAAATTATCGAGTACTGCGATGTAGCTACCCCAGCCTACAACAAACTAGAATGTGCCAATCTTCTAGACAGTCCGCACAGGTTCAAAACCAGGCGCATACGTAACTCGCCGGAAACTTGAGAACAAACCCTACAGGTCCTGGGATCAAGCCCCACCGCCGACATTCCAGGACAAACAGCATAAACTCCCGTTGTGCGCAGCATAAAAGTGTTACCAGAGTGGCTGCATGACATGACAGTCATGATGAGATCAATACCACGGTATACAGATGGGGCAGCAACTGCCTCAAGGGAGGAAAGCATGAGTTGAATTGTGCAGACAATCCATACAGGCGATAAGTACAAGGATTCTACACAAGGATTCCCCCAGAATGGCCTCGTTACTGAGTCATTAGTTCAATAACTACTGTCTTCACCCACATCCAACGTAAGATCATTATTTTCTTCCCTTTTTTCTCCAATTTTAGAAGGGGATCTGTTTCCATTGGGGTTCGAATTTTGAACTCGTTACCTGTTTCCTCGCTCCTTGTCATATGCTAGCATATGCTTAATTAGTAAAATGCGAGGATTGAGCCCCTTGGCAAAGCTGTGGAAAGGCCGCGCCCGCCCTGAGTGAAGGTGGGCCTGTAAAAATTTGGCCTTGGCCTGCAAAAGGCTCTGCATTGAGGCCTGTGCAATGACTTGCTGATTTCTGCTGCCGAGATTGACTGCGAGGCTGTACACTAACCGGTAGGGTTAGTTTCGTAATTTTGTTTGGCTGAGGGCTAACCGAGAGACCTGCCAGTTTGGAAATTAGTGAGGGACAGATCTGCAATTCCGGGGAAAACATAGGCCCGGTACTAACCGAATTTCTACAGCTACCCTAACTGCCTATCGCAGGCCCGGGCTAC